TTTACTCTCCAAATAGAGGTGGGTTGGAGATGGTCTAAGCATGAAATAGTTTGAGAATGCAAAGAGGAGATGCATAGATGTCCTATTGAGGAGGTGCAAGAGGTTGGATATAGTGGATATGAGGAGAGGTTGGAGTATGTCGGAAAAAATATCAACAAAAGGTGATTATACATGACATGACACAACTTTAGTTTACCAAAGACATGAACTTAGATAAGAGGGTGTGAATGTCACATATTAGGGTACAAGATTAGTCAGTAGTGGAGTGTTGCCTTGATTTTTGATGGGTTTAGGTTTAGTGATGTATATCGTAGTATTAGTCTCAGTGTCTTGCTTTTGATAATCTATCACCATCTGTTATTTATGATGTTTTGATTCCTGCACTATTTTGTTGTTGTTACTGTTTTCTTATTAGTTGCTATGTTTTCTTCACTGTCACTAGACATTTTCATACATATTTTAATGTCCTACAAAAACAACTTCTCTACCTCCAAAAGGTAGAAGTAAGATTTGCATACGCTTTATCTTCCGCAAATTCCACTAATAAAATTATACTAAATATGTCATTACATATTTGTATAATATTAATAAATTAGTTGATCAAACGTATATTAGCGGAGCTTATAACTTTAGCATAACACCTCGAAGATGAAGTCGGAATGTACGTTCCAACACATCACATGATAACATTAAACAAAGTCTCCTCCAACTTCGATGCATTATACATTTTTCATTTATAGACTATAGTACATCTATATTTTTTAAAATTATTACATTTGAGTGATTCAATGCTGGCGGTGCCTCTTATCTGTCCTAGTAATTGCTGACTTGCTTTTATTCCCATACCTCTATTAAATTTCATAACATGCATAATGCCAACTCATATAATAATGTTTCAAGATCAAATTTTAAGGTATTTTGACCCTTCAAGCACTTAAAAGAGTGTTGTTTAATCATCAATGAACTTGATTAAAATCCTAGAAGTTAAAGATTTAATTAAATCTTAACGGAATGAATTCTTTTAATTCGTTCAAAATTTTAGTGAGCAGTTATGCTATAACCTACACGTATAGAGGTGGATTCAGAATATTGAAATTTTAGGTGTTATACTATTTTTAAACTGGATCTATTTTGACTTTCGATTCGAATTGTCCATCGCTTTGATTTATATAGCAAAGCCGGTTGAATAAAATAATTTAATAATTATGAAAATTTTGAACAAAATATAAAAGTTATCAATAATGTTACTAATATCAACAAAAACAGATTATGTATTTGTAACTGTCCTTGACGAATTTTTATATTGAATAGCTATCAACTCAAAGATGGACGTCTTGAATTAGAACTCGCTATAAATATCTATTTAGATATCAGTAAGAATTTAATACACTTTATAAACTCTAATATTGAAGAAAGAACTTTTTTAATAAATAATTGGAACTCGTAAGGGGAAAAAACGAGTTAACAAAAATAATGAAAAGAAGAAAAAATATTTGATTTATTAGTGACTAAAACCAAATTCGAACTAGAATTATAACTTTGAGGAATTGGATAAGCCAAACTTCTAATATAGTGCAAAATTAGACATTTTCGCAAAATATAAAGACAAATTTGGACCTTTATTATTTATATATTTTATAATAACATAGAGTCACAATATATTAATTGGACAATAATCAACCTCCATCTAAACCAAATAAATATCTCTCGTTATGTCACTTTCCTTCTTTCTTCCTTTTCAAGACTAGTTAACTTCAAACATAGACTAAAAGCAAAAAAATTGTTTACGGTTCTCGTTTTATATTAGTTGTCCATCATATTATAATAAATAGTTATCCTAAATTACTTGTCAATTTATCTTTATAATTTTTATTTATTTTTTGAAAGCATAAACAAATTTGTGAAGTTCTACAAAAGTTTCTTTAAGGGGGTAAATTAATAAAACTAACATTTTTATTTATGATTTCTTAAGGAACAAAGAGACTTTTGGACAACTAATATCAAGGTGACAGGGCAGAGCTAGACGGCATATATACAAACTCGGCCAAACTCAATAAATTTTACTCAAACAATGTATTTGTATTAATAAATTTATTAAATATATATAAATATTAAATTTAAAATCTAATAATTATCACCTTAAATCATCATTGTAAAATTCAGAATTTATAAAATTAAAATTTCAATTCCTCCCATAGGACGGAGCAAGTACCAATTTATTTATTTATTTGCATGCCAATAATGTCACTAGTACGTTTATTACAAAGTGTCGGCTACGTCCCTTCACGTACCCTTCTTCCCATAAGTCATAACTATACTTTTTATTATTTTATGAAAGTCTCCACGAACTCTCCTTCACAAAATATCCTTAGTCAACTTTCTGTCTCAAAATAATTGTCACAAATTTAACCGTTCGATCACTAATCACCACTTATCTTTTAACACGTGTCCCATACATTTTTTTCAACTAATAACTATATATATAGTGCCAACTACTTTAACAATATCATACACAAAATCTACTAAAAAGTTGTTCACATAAGTCCATACACACATTTTTCCCCTTTTGTTCATATATACTTTTTAAGATTTGATCTTTGTGTTTTCTTGATATTTTTTTTTTAGCTCAATGATCAACAAATCTAACGAATTCATTCGCCGGATTTTGAATTTTCCGGCTATTCGTCCTAGTGAAACTGTATCTTTTTCTAGCCTTGTTGCATCTTTGATTCAATTAGGCCAAACAATATGTGAATACAAGTCAAGAACTTTTTATACCAATAAGAAGAATGTTAGGAACTCGATTCGTTTAATTGAGGATATTCTCATTGTTCTTAAAGAAATCCCAAATGGGGTTTCAAGATTTGCTAATTCAAGTATTGTGAGCTTATCTGAGATTCATTTTATCTTCCAGAAGTTTTCATTTTCTTGTTGGATGATTGTAGCAGAGAAGATTCAAGAATATGGATTTTAGCAAAATCCGAGGATGTTTCTTGCCAGTTTCAGATGCTGGCAAGAGCTGTTGCTGTGGCACTTGATGTTCTTCCTTTGAAGGAAATGGATGTTTCTGTGGAGGGTCAAGAAGTGGTTGAGTTTGTGAGGAATCAAGCTGTTAAGTTGAAGTTTGAAGTGGAAATGGATGATGGGAGAATGCAAGTGAATGTTTTGAAGATTTTGGATCAACTTGAAAATGAAGTTATTCCAGAAACGCGTGATCTGAAAAGGGTTCTTGATTCTTTAGGGATTACACGTTGGAGCGCGTGTAATAGAGAAGTTAAGTTCTTGGATAATGAGATGTTGTTGGAGGGGAATACTGAGGAGAAGAGAGATATGGGAATCCTTAGTAGCTTAATGGGGTTCATGATATACTGCAGGGGAACTCTGTTTGAAGTATTGGATAATGGAGCAGGCAGACAAATCAATGGAGGCAGTACTAATGCAGATCAAGTCATCAGGTTCTTGAATCTTGATGATTTCAGGTGTCCAATTACACTTGAAATCATGAGTGAGCCAGTGACAATAGCCTCAGGTCACACATATGATCGGGCTTCGATTCTGAAATGGTTCAGAGCTGGAAACTCCACTTGTCCAAAGACTGGTGAGAGGTTAACAAGTATTGATTTGGTTCCTAATTTTGCTTTGAAGGTTTTAATCAAGCAGTATTGCTCCGCGAATGGTATTCCATTTGTGGAGACTGGTAGGCGAAATCGTGATGCTGGAAGATTTGTTGGTTCAAGCAGTGTGGCTAATGAGCAGGCTATGAAGTTGCTTGCAAGTTTTCTAGTAGGCAGGCTGGTTGGTGGAACAATGGAACAGCAAAATAAGGCTGCTTTCGAGATTCGTTTGCTCACTAAAACAAGCATTTTTAACAGGTCTTGTTTGGTGGAAGCTGGTGTAATCCCACCTCTTCTGAATCTTGTTACTTCAAGGGATTCTTCTTGTCAAGAGAATTCAATGGCTACTCTGCTGAACCTCTCAAAGAACTCTAAATGCAAAAGCACAATTGTTGGAAATGGAGGTTTGTTCTTGATACTTGATGTGTTGAAAGGAGGGCTAAAGATGGAAGCTCGACAGCACGCAGCTGGTACATTATTCTACCTTACATCAGTAGAAGAGTACCGTAAAATGATGGGAGAAAATCCAGAGTTCATTCCATCACTTTTGGAGTTGCTAAGAAATGGCACTGACAGAGGAAAAAAGAATGCCTTGGTCACCATTTTTGGCCTCCTAATGCGCCCCGAAAACCACTGGAGAGTGATTGCTGCTGGATTAGTCCCCTTGGTGGTTAATCTGTTGAAATCTTTCGAAAGGGAAGATCTCATTACAGATTCTTTAGCAGTTTTAACAACGCTTTCTGAAAGGCTAGACGGAGCAATGGCTGTTCTTTATGCTGGAGCTTTGCCTATTATTGTCAATGTTCTAAGTTCTTGCAATTCAAGGGCATCAAAAGAGTACTGTGTCTCATTGTTGCTGGCTTTGTGTATCAATGGTGGAGCAGATGCAGTTCCTGTTTTAGTAAAGAACTCATCTCTCATGGGACCGTTATATTCCCTCCTGGCTGAAGGCAACTCAAAAGCAAGCAAGAAAGCTAGTACACTCATCAGAATCTTGCACGAGTACAACGAGAAGACCTCATCTGGCTTGATCACTCCAGTTTTTATAGAGGATCAATTCATTAATGTATGGTAATTATTTACAAGCATCCAACATGTATATATACACCATGGTGTAGGATGCTTTAGTGTCATTTTCCTTTACTGGTGATATCGGCTCAAGTTTTTAAGAGCTAGTCACACTACACTGCTGCAGCTTCTGGTTTTTTGAATGAAGCTTTGTATAGTTTTACTTGTATCTCTATACTTTCTGATGTTAATGTGAATTGTTGTTAATGTAAACATCAATCGTTGTAATCTTCGACTAAATAATAAGCATTATCTTATCTGAATCAGTTGGTATAAATATACAATCAGTTTACTTGTTTTATCTTTGATTGTTCAGTTTCATCTTCTGGTAGGCACCTAAATTGAGATCAAAATGTGTATAAGAGGAAACTTAAGTACAATCTTGGGCAGAGGCGGATCTTCAGCGAGTTCAATGGGAACCATTGACTATAAATTCTAGATTCACCTTTGAGTTCTTGGGTAGGATGAAATGAAAGTTAATTGTACATGAGAATGTGCACTAAGGATGGACTGACTCAACTCTTGTTGATAAATCGAGAGCCTCTTCGAGTTTAACAACCACCTGTTCCATGGATGGTCTTTGCTGCTTAAGTCCTATGCTAGTCAAAGCTAGCTTAAGAACAAGTTCAAATGCCTCCATTGAGAATTTCCCCTCCAGTTTGAGATCAGCAAATTCTTTGATATTCCCACCTTTGGTCAAGTTTTTCGCCTATGATTCAAAAAGACGCGTTAAAGAGAAAAAAAAAACTCAAAATGAATGCAAGAGAAAATGGAGGAGTTAGTATGTTTACCATTTTACTTAGAGGCATTGGATTCTTCAAATCCAAGTTGATAACCCTTTGTCCAGATAAAAGTTGTAGCAGTACTATCCCAAAGCTATAGACATCACCATAAGAATTAACATGACGGTTCTTTTGGTACTCAGGATCAACATAACCATAGGTTCCTCTCACTTCTGAGCTAGCATATGAATGTCCAATGCTAATAATTTTGGACAAACCAAAGTCTGAGAGTTTGGCTTCAAAGCTAGCAGATAGAAGAATGTTTGCTGGCTGCAAAATTTCACCAAAAAGAGGAAACACAACTGATTTTTTTTTAGAAAATGGAAGACAGATTATGGATGTAAAATAAGATTTTACCTTGATATCCCGGTGAACAATTGATCCTTGAGGATACGAATGGAGAAAGAGGAGACCACGAGCACAATCAAGTGCAATTTCTAGTCTTCGTCTCCACGAGAGATATTTACTTTTACCTGCTCAGCAGGGGTTTTAAAATCAGGACACTATACAATTTAGATCAACAAAGAACAGAGAAATGCTCAAAGAGCAAAAACATACCAAATAGCCATTCGGAAAGATTTCCATTGTGGCATAGCTCATAAACTAGAAAACATTCAATTGGTGCATCATAGTGGCCTAGCAGGGATACGAGGTTCGGATGTTTGATATGAGAGAGACTTGTAACTTCTCTAACAAATGTTTCCATCTGTTCATCCTTAATTATGTGCTTAATAGCCACATGTTGTCTATCTGCTAAAATGCCTTTGTATACTTTTCCTGTAAAACATGATCATATCTGATTTATGCATGTTACTAATATGAAGTCAACTACTACAACGTTCGATTGTGACTTACCAGCTATGCCTTGACCTATGAAGTTGGACATGCTGAGACTGTCAGTTGCAGAGTAAATTTCTTTAAGTGATAGTCTACGATAGCTTGATTCTTCAGAGTAAGATTCATCTGATACCATCAATATTAAGCAGAATTAGAATAAGCTAAAACATTCAAAACAATGATTGTTATGTGTAGAGGGCTTACTGTATCTTTCACTTGATGGTTTAACTTCAGCCTTCCTTTTCACATAGATCCACAACGCAACGATTACAACTAACACCATCCCAACTACACCAACAATTAGAATTGAAAGATCTGCATATTTAACCAATGCTTAACAATAAACACACTCTTTTGTCCTGAAACTCAGCAATATCAGTAATTTTTATGTATATGGATTTCAAGACTTTACCAGTTTTAAACTTAGTACTACGTATCGTTTCATTTCCACTCTCATCTGCAGAAGATGCTGCACAGTACAATGATCAATCAAGATCATAGTTAAATTTCAAAACTTAAATATGTTTATAACAGGAAGTAAAGTAAACTTACCTAAAGGGAGAGAGTTGTCTCCTAGGCAATGAAAGATCTTGTCAATCCAACTCTCATCAGCAACTCTTTGACTTGTTAACAAAATCAGCATACTAAATCTACAAATGTCATCTTCAAGTTTCATCGAATCATTTTTCGACGTGTAAGCTATTTCTCTCCATGTCTTCAAACACTTATTGCATCCCTTAGTAAGTCCTCCTTCTGAATCCATTAGCCTACAATCATCCCTCAGACTATTCAATCTGCTTCCTATCTCATTCAGAACGTCGATCTCTGAATAATCCGAACAACCTCCTGCACCACTAGTCAACTTCTCAATGCCACAGCTAAAAATATCAGTACTATTGTTATTCATCAAAGTTAAGCAGTCCATCTGTTGTATGGAATTGAGAAAGATAAGTCTTGTTTGGTTTGTCCAACGCGCCAATGCTCGTAAATATATGTTGAAAGGTAATCCACAACAAGGGTGAGTTAAGAAACCATCCCAATTGTTGTCTAAAGTTGTACATGAGTCCCTTGATGATGAAGAAGAAATGTTAAAATCCAGGACACATTTGTTGAAACTACTATTGGTTTGAGAAAAAACTAAGTCAAATGATATGGAGAAAACCATGATGAACATGATTAATAATGGTGCTTTGAAGCAATTCATTTTCTTGAAATGCTAAAGGGTACTCTATATTAACATAATCAAATAGAGAGCTATATAACTTTTTCTTCATTAGAAAAAGAAGAAGAAGTCAAGGATATGAAAGAGTAATAAAAGAGAATGCATTTGGCTAAAGAGGGTATTTTTCTTGTTTCCCATTGTAGGGCATAACACTGTTTAATGGCGGAATACATCGACAATCTCTTAAATTTGTTATGAATTTTATTTAGACACTTGAACTACATTAAGTTCCAATTGAGCATCTAAACACATAATAATAAAGTATTCTTATTAGAAAATTACTATTCAAATTCTGGAAAAACTTTTGCGCGCCTAGTCAAGAGTATATGAAGTAAATTAGTTAACCACATAAATTCTGCAACATTTTTTTGAATTATATTTGTCAATCTCAATTAGAGTAGGCCTTAGGTTTTACTGCTTATAACTAAAGAAAGTGACATACTTTAAGTGATTATCATATTTACATAATTGGTGCTTACGCACAAATACTTTTTAAAGATACAAGTCGAAAATGTCTAATAGAAACACTAATCGTATGCTCAATTAGAAAATATCGGAATTTAAATGTCTAAATGAAATAAATTGACAAATTTAAGGAATTGTTCATGTATGTCGCCTTAGTTAATCAATCACATGACATAAGACAAAAAAAAAAGTTAATAAAAAATCTAAGATTTTTTGCTGATTTAACATTTGTAGATTAGTAACTTAAGTAAGATGTGATAAAAGACAAATGCCGGATATATCAACATTAGAAAAATATAAAAGTTTGATGTCACCTTTGTGTTGTACTGTTTGGTTGACGAAGGACTCAATCTTACACCAATACAAATTACCAATTGTTTTATCAAAGACTCAACTAATTAACCATCTGCTAGATAATTAGAATTACTGAATTAGGGGTGTTAACGAAAAATCGAAAATCAAATTAAATCGATAAAAAGATTTATACTTTTTTGTTTTGATTTTTACTTTTAAATAATTTGATTTGATTTTAGATTTTAGATTTTTTTAAAAATAACCAAGTCAAGTGGACTCTTAATTCTTAATTTAGGTGTTTGTCTTTATAGTAATTCGGTTATTTGTCTTTATTTCTTTTATTTGATTTGTATTTTTTTGTTTGACAATTCTAAAAATCTATTTCATATTCAAAATAACTTGTCTTTTAGTCTTTTAATTATTCACCATTGTTTGATTCAATTGCTGTGAAGATATATTGGTACATTACTACTAGATCTTTAATTTTCTACCCAAAAATATGGTTGTAATTTTTTTTTATAATGGTCCCTGGAAATGACTAAATTAATTATGGGAATAATGCATACGATTTTTTTGGAGGAAGCTATATATATAACTTGATGCATATATATTTTCTTTTTTCTTAAAGAGTAAGTGATTTGGTAATGTTATGATGGAAAAATATGCTTGGAAATATATTATCATTTATTTTTAAGAAAGGAAAAAACGACAAAAGTCGATATAATAAAAAGTCAACTTTATTAATTTAATTTGGTTCCAACATTTGAAAGACCAGCTTAATTAATTTATTTTTTTGTTAGAGAAGAATCGATGCAAATCGAATTGTGAACACACCTAATTAGAAATAATACGATCATTAGTTTGTATTTGTTTTTAAGGAATAAAAGAGAGAATAGAACAATAAAATAAAATTTAAAATGAAAATACTCAACCTCATTGGTTTTTCTTCTTTCCTTTTTCCCTTGTGTTGCCAAAGAGGAAAAGGCTGGAAATTGAAATATATATATATATATATATAAACCCCAAGAATTTTTTTTAAAAAAATGGAAGAAACAATGAACGTCAATGAATACATCGTTAATTTTATGTATGTTTTCCTAGTTTAAATATGTGGAAACTTTGGAGTTAACTTATTTTAGCACAACATTATAGCAAGTAGTAGAGTCAAAAATTTATATAAAGTGATTACAAAATCAATAGATCGCTACTCACGTACTTGAACGTGTAATATAAGCACTCTAAAATCTTATTTATTAGACTATTATGCATCAATTATTTTTCATTAATTAAAATAAAATATTAATGGGTTTATGAGTTACATGTTTTTCCCACTCTAATATAGGGGCTTCTAACGTAAAGATGACGATTTTTTTTAACTAAAATAGTTGCATGTATATGTAATGTATCAAAAATGTATAATCATATATATAATGTATAACTATGATTAGAGATGTATATAAATACATACGCACTCTTTATATAATATTTATATAGTTGCAAAAATTCATCTTCCTCAACAAGCTACTTTTTTTCAATCTCATCTAACTCAAATTTCCTCTAAAAAAGGCTTAAATTATAAATTTGAGCTGCTCTCAATATTTCGAATCACTTCATATATTATTCACTCAAATTTCAAAATAATTCATATTTGCAAGAGATCAAATTTTGAGCCTCAAAACTATTCAAATAGAGGGCAAACAATTGTTGGGCCTTTCTTATTCAATGGGCCGGTGGACTGTACTAATTATTGAATAATGCAGATTAGGGTGTAAATGGTCGGGTTGGTTTGAGTTTTTCAAATATTAAACTAAACTATTTGTGTCGAATCTCTTTTTAAAGGGAAAATTAGCAAATTAGTCAAAAAGTCTAACTTAATTAGTAAAAACCTCCATACGTTATAAATATTAGTAAAAATGTCAAAATGTCATTATTTTAGAAAAGCTTGTGTATTCTAATTTACTTCCTATTTTATCTCACCTTAATTACACATTTTCCAATTAATCCTCTATCGTAATCCGCCTCTCTCTTCCTCTTTTTTTTTTTTTTCAGAAATTGAAAAATATATTTATAAAGATATTCACACAATCCCTTTTATTGAGGTATGCATCTTTATTCGTTTTTTAAGATTTATTTTATGATTTTATTTTTGTTTAAAATTGTTGTCTGTAGTTGAAATCACATTTAGAATTTGATAAACTCTAAATCACGCTCCAATGGCAGAATCTAAGAGAATTACTAGAGGTATCCAACTTAATCAACAATTTGCTATTTTTCAATATCACAATTTTCTACTAAGAACACAAATGACGACAATTTTGTATTTTAATTTGCTTATTTTGTATTTCAATATCACTTTATCTACAAACAAGTTCTACTTTTTTTTATTTTGTATTCACCATAATGGTATACCAACAAAGTCACATTTGTATTTCAATTGAAATGAGTATTTATTGTGCTCATTTTGTATTTCAATCTCAATTT